ACATTGGTGTTCGATTCATACCTACGAGACACCTGCTGTTAACGAAATTGTCAGATTCGTCTGCAACTCCTTTGTTACGATCGCCAAAGACGCACGATCAAGTGACGCTCACCTTTTCGAATCCTCGCTAAGGACACTACAAAAGTCGCCAATGTTACCTGCTTTTATAGTTGTAAATAAACCGCACACTATTTATGTAATATGTTTCACACACTATTATGAATTCCATCCATTACTTCTCTAAGAAATATGTTAACTACTTAGGCTCCTGGAAAAAGGATTGATAGGTTTCTGCCACTACTGGTAACTATATCTACCCATTGTGTGCAGCAAAGCATTGCATTATTTAAGAATATGCAAAACGGTTGAGGAGCTTCAGCGTTGGTCGCGTGAAGGACGTTATGATATGCTCCGCCCGACTGATCTCTGCAAGATGAATGATTTTGTACATAGCAGCGCGGCAACCTGTACCCAGCTTCAACGAGCACGTCTCAGTGTCCTCCCCACGCTCCTCAAGCATACGAACAAAAGCCAATGGTATTTTGTTCTTGACGCGGCCCTCCCCACTGATCACCACGTGAAATAGCAGAAGAATTTGTGCATAGACCACAGCTTCTGAGGGTGTTGACTCGTCCGCAGTATCAGACTTCAGTGAAACACATGAGAACCAAGCGGCGCCATGGAACTTTGGGGTGGCGCGTGCGTAGTGGCTCTGGTACCCATCTTTCCCTGGTAGGGCCATGGCGGAATGGACCTGCAGTGTAAACAATTTGGTTATTAAAGGGAACGCCCAATGAATTCAGCTACAGTACGATAACGTGTTTGGAAACGGGCGACCTAACGTTCACGCCAGGCTGTACACTTGCTTACATGAATGGTACTTGGGTGACAGCCTGCAGCCCCAAGTGCAGCAGCAAATAGGTCCATGCAGGAGCCGTGGTGGTCACGGTAGCTCTTCCAGATATCGTCCCCACGCCTATTCTCAAGAATGTGTGGCATTGAAACAGGTGTTGACGTTGTTGTCAGGACAGCATGGCAAACCGCATCCGCCTGCCAGGGGGTGAGTGCAGACAAGTTATGGAAGAAAGGAACTTCATAAGTTTAAAGCTAATTCTCAGCCGTGGGAGGGTGTGGGGTGTCATGTGTGAGTGAGTGGGATAGCATGTGGGAGCATGTGGGATGACATGTGGGTGTGGGTGGGCTGTACTGTGGGTGTGTGTGGGATGACATGTGTGTGTAGGTGGGCTGGACTGTGGGTGTGTGTGGGTTGACATGTGTGTGTGGGTGGGCTGGACTGTGGGTGTGTGAGGTATACTATGTGGGTGTGGGTGGGCTGGACTGTGGGTGTGTGTGGGATGGCATGTGTGTGTGGGTGGGCTGGACTGTGGGTGTGTGAGGGATGGCATGTGTGTGTGGGTGGGATGGCATGTGGGTGTGTGTGGGATGGCATGTGGGTGTGTGTGGGATGGCACGTGGGAGCATGTGGGATGACATGTGGGTGTGGGTGGGCTGTACTGTGGGTGTGTGTGGGATGACATGTGTGTGTGGGTGGGCTGGACTGTGGGTGTGTGTGGGTTGACATGTGTGTGTGGGTGGGCTGGACTGTGGGTGTGTGTGGGTTGACATGTGTGTGTGGGTGGGCTGGACTGTTGGTGTGTGAGGTATACTATGTGGGTGTGGGTGGGCCGGACTGTGGGTGTGTGTGGGATGGCATGTGTGTGTGGGTGGGCTGGACTGTGGGTGTGTGTGGGTTGACATGTGTGTGTGGGTGGGCTGGACTGTGGGTGTGTGTGGGTTGACATGTGTGTGTGGGTGGGCTGGACTGTGGGTGTGTGAGGTATACTATGTGGGTGTGGGTGGGCCGGACTGTGGGTGTGTGATGGATGAAATGTGGGTGTGGGTGGGCTGGACTGTGGGTGTGTGTGGGTTGATATGTGGGTGTGGGTGGGCTGGACTGTGGGTGTGTGTGGGATGGCATGTGTGTGTGGGTGGGCTGGACTGTGGGTGTGTGATGGATGATATGTGGGTGTGGGTGGGCTGGACTGTGGGTGTGTGTGGGATGGCATGTGTGTGTGGGTGGGTTGGACTGTGGGTGTGTGAGGGATGACATGTGTGTGTGGGTGGGATGGCATGTGGGTGTGTGTGGAATGGCATGTGGGTGTGTGTGGGATGGCATGTTGGAGCATGTGGGATGACATGTGGGTGTGGGTGGGCTGTACTATGGGTGGGTGTGGGATGAAATGTGTGTGTGGGTGGGCCGGACTGTGGGTGTGTGAGGGATGACATGTGGGTGTAGGTGGGCTGGACTGTGGGTGTGTGATGGATGATATGTGTGTGTGTGGGTGGGCTGGTCTGTGGGTGTGTGTGGGATGGCATGTGTGTGTGGGTGGGCTGGACTGTGGGTGTGTGATGGATGATATGTGGGTGTGGGTGGGCTGGACTGTGGGTGTGTGATGGATGATATGTGGGTGTGGGTGGGCTGGACTGTGGGTGTGTGTGGGATGGCATGTGTGTGTGGGTGGGTTGGACTGTGGGTGTGTGAGGGATGACATGTGTGTGTGGGTGGGATGGCATGTGGGTGTGTGTGGAATGGCATGTGGGTGTGTGTGGGATGGCATGTTGGAGCATGTGGGATGACATGTGGGTGTGGGTGGGCTGTACTATGGGTGGGTGTGGGATGAAATGTGTGTGTGGGTGGGCTGGACTGTGGGTGTGTGAGGGATGACATGTGGGTGTAGGTGGGCTGGACTGTGGGTGTGTGATGGATGATATGTGTGTGTGTGGGTGGGCTGGTCTGTGGGTGTGTGTGGGATGGCATGGTGGTGTGTGTGGGATGGCATGGTGGTGTGTGTGGGATGGCATGGTGGTGTTAGAGCATGGCTGGTGGGGAATGAGAGGCCATGTACACGAGTGGGCGTAAATGGCCTGTAAATAGATTGTAAGCTCATCACGTCATACCTTCATCAAAGCAGTCAAGCGATGGTTCTTCTCGCCAAGAGCTGTAGGCATGTGTTGAATGACCGAACGGACGATGATCATGCGCATGATTGCCTCCTCGTAGTCTCGGTAGTTGGATGCCCGGAAAACACGCTTGCAGGTGGAGGAGTGGGCATGCTCGAATAGCGCTGTTGAAAATTCAGCCGGTATGCCACTTCTACGAATCGCATCTGGAAAGTGTACGAGTGCGTGAATTTTCACAATACGCCACCCAAATCCGGGTCGTGGTAGATTTGTCTTCAGCAGCCGCACAAGCCTGAAAGTAGAAATCACTCATGTTAGTGCAACTTTGGACAGAGGGAGCGTAGGGGGGACACAACAATGCAGACAAACGGATACAAGGGTGTAAGGGGACCACTCACTCTGCAGTGTCTGTGAGATACTGCCGCAACATGGTCTCCGTGTACTTCGTCACACAGAAATAGTTGTGGTACCATTTCACGAACGTCCGCAGCACGGCCATTTTTACGTTCGGTATTTGCAGCCCTTCCATGATTAGCAACACCACCTGTGCGTAGAAGAGGTTGGGTCAACACATTGTGTAGAGAATTCAGATGGATGGTTGTAAGCCATGTGTCCGCACGGAGCTTAGTGAACTACATTCGAAAACTTCCAAGGAGCAAAATGAAGATACTCACACTAATCATGCTTGCATGCTCGGCAGCCGAATAGTTTGCCCCAGGCTTGAAATAACGGCCATCGGCGGGAAGTTTCATCCCTGCGAACCTCTCATCTTTGTGCATAACTCCGAGTCTCCTGCGATTGAGCAAAGGCACAAGAGAAACATGTGACATTAGAAGATATGCCAACCATGCAAGGGTTACAGTACACGGAAGTAAAATTACCTGTTCATCTCAGCTACGTTCTCCCCCTTCACCACACACTCCAGAATGTAAACCCACACGCCGATTAGAATTGCATGCAAGACATCAGGCAAGACAGCAAGATATGGATTTGCCCACGGCTTGTCGGGGGAATTCTCGGATTCTCGAGGGAATTTCCATAACACACACTGCATGGGTTAAGAGATGGCGCAGTGGGGGTAGTGGAGAGTATAAGGTTAAGGGTAGTATGCAGGGGACTTTAGACACTTGAGTAAGGTGAAGGCTTTCACAGAAGCATAGACCGCACCCATCACGCACTCTCTGCCCTTGTGCATAGCACCACTCACCTCACACATCACGCACTCTCTGCCCTTGTGCATAGCACCACTCACCTCACACATCACGTACTCTCTGCCCTTATTCGCAGCACCTCTCACCTCACCGATCAAGCACTCTAGGCCCTTGTGCAGAGCACTACCCACCCCACCCAACACTGCCATTGTGCACAGCACCACTCAACCCACCCATCAAACACTTGCTGCCCTTGTGCGCGGCACCACTATCCCCATCCATCAAGCACTCTCTGCTCTTGGGCGCAGCACCATTCAGCTCATCCATCAAGCACTGTGTGCTGGTGCAACTCACTGGCGATTGGTGTGTGGAATAGTCCTCTCGTGTTTTTTTGTCGGGATGATTGGACAACCAAGTCTGCGTCTTCACATCCCGTGGTTGGTTTAGTGTCGGGTCCATGTTGTCGAGGTTGTTCTTGTGAACATAACATTGTGAGCATGGTCTCTCGGATGCATGTTGCATTGTGCACGTGACGCGTGATCCCTCTGGGTAGTCGGTCACATACGAGTACAACTTCGGCCACACGGTGAAAGTGTTCCCGAGTGGATCTGTCATGTGAAGAGAGCTGCAGAAAAAAGACATGTGCAGATACATACTCGATGAGAAACGAAGCATGGTGAGCACGGGCGTTGTCAATGTATCGATGCTGATTATGACACATGGCAACAACTCACGGCATATATGATTGCAAGTTGGCGAGGCATACCTTTGGCAAGCTGCAATCACTGACTCGAGTACAATGTGCTGCGCCTTTTGGAAGAGCTCCACTTTTTGAAATGGTTCCATGTCAGAGTCCGCGATCGGGATTAGCGCGATCAAAACTCTCCCATGATCCTTCCAGCGGAGATGGAGAGGGATGTTGGTGCATGTCAAGTAGAACGCCCACGCCTTCAGGCGTTCGTTTCCACTGAGGAGCGTCTCGTCACTGGAAAGTATGAGCGGACACACCAGCTCCTCCGGAGACAATCCAACCTGCAAATGAAAACAAGGGGTTGTACGGAAAAATGTGCACAAAGCATTTGCTTTACCTGCCACTCACCATGCTTTCCCTGCCACTCACCATCATTTCCAGCCACTAACCATCCCTTTCCTGCAACTCACCATCCGTTTCCAGCCACTCTCCATCCTATCCCTGCCACTCACCATTCCTTGCTGCTCTCACCATTCCTTGCAGCTCTCACCATACCTTGCAGCTCTCACCATTCCTTGCAGCTCTCACCATTCCTTGCTGCTCTCACCATTCCTTGCAGCTCTCACCATTCCTTGCAGCTCTCACCATTCCTTGCTGCTCTCACCATTCCTTGCAGCTCTCACCATACCTTGCAGCTCTCACCATTCCTTGCAGCTCTTACCAACCCTTGCAGCTCCTACCATTCCTTGCAGCTCTCAACATTCCCTGCAGCTCTCACCATTCCTATCCCTGCCACTCACCCTCCCATTCCAGCCACTCACCATGCTTTCCCTGCCACTCACCATCATTTTCAGCCACTCACCATCCCTTTCCTGCCACTCACCCTCCGTTTCCAGCCACTCTCCATCCTATCCCTGCCACTCACCATCCGTTTTCAGCCACTCACCATGCTTTCCCAGCCACTCACCTTCACTTTCCAGCCACTCACCATCACTTTCCGGCCACTCACCATCACTTTGGTGCCACTCACCATCACTTTCCAGGCTCTCACCATCTGCTGTCTTTAGCGTACCTGCGCTTCCTCCCAAAATGTGCCTGTCTGTGCAGGCCCGTAAACCCGCTCGTTGTTCTCCATGATTGGTGCCGCACGGTGGACAAACCCATCCGCATTTTTAGGGTCACGCCACATTCGGAGCAAAGCCTGCGGTGCGGAGTTGAGAGAAAGGTCATATAAGATGAACATCAAGTGGGTAGACTCAGCGCTTGACGCAACGTAGCACCCGGTGTAAACTTGCCTCGATGGGGTCAATGTACTTGAGTTTGAACACGGTAGGCCAATCATCCACGCGGATTTCTGCAGTCTCGAAGTTGTTTTTCTGAATTCCCAACTTATCCAACGCGTATTTGTCAACTGCGTGTTTACCATTCCAAGTGCGCAACTCTTCCAGGCAAAAGTCTGGATCTTTGATTAGCTTGAAGAAAAAAGCAATGTCACTACCAAACATGCCGGCGCCTTTCTTGCACATTGATAAGAACCTGAAAGATTCCCTTTGTGTGTCGAACCTACGATGCGATAGCGTCTCCTCCATATCGGCAAAAAACGGGTTAAAATCGGCGCGACCATCCGCATCGTGGACGGGTCTATCGACATAAATCGGTGGTGCACCAATGTTATCTTCACATGGCGGTGCGGAAGGGCGATCGATCGGTGGTGGGAGCACAGGAGCAACTGCTGCTGCTGGTTCGGCGAGCATTCCAGGTCTCGGAATAGCACCATGGTCGTGGCGAGGCCTTTTGTGAGGACACGACGTTATTCCACGTTCATGATTCACGAGTGCGGATTCGGAGAAGAAAGTAGCAGTGCATCCACACTGGTACTGCGCCATGGTCTGTCCACACAACCCGGACATTAGAACAAATGTGACAGCGGATGCGAGAGTCATATGCAGGCATGACTGTAACCCAACGGAATCGCCATCCGTTTATTAAAAAAATAAAAAAATCAGGCACGAAGACCACTCACCGAGGCAACCCAGAGAGTGACGACTACTAATTTGCCTCACAAAGGCACTACCATGTTGCAAGTATTCACCAGCATGAAGTGCGGGCGCAGCACATTGGTGCGTGAGTGAAGCTCAGAGTGTGTGAGTGTGTGTGTTTGAATGGCCGCTTCTTGTTTAGCTTTAGTTTAGTGTCGGGGCTGGAAAACGATGGAAGCAGACTCATCACGCCTGGGTGACATTCAGTACCGTGGCATCGAGTCGCAAATGTCGTGACATAGTGCCAGTGGGTTCATCTGGCTTGTATGGGGTACAGATTCAAAACACGAAACTCAACTGGACCAGGAATATGCTGAACTGTATTGTTAAGGGAAGCATGTATTAATGGTACATACAAATCTTATAAATCCAACATGTTTGTAATATGCATTTGTAAAATAGTACAACTAACGTGATGACTCTGGCAAATGTTGTCGATGTGGTTGCACCAACTGGTTCAGGCTGGATGTTAGATGACACTTCAATTTACGTACTATTGATGGCAACTCAAATAAATTACTGGTGTATTCAGTTATGGTATTCATTCCTGTTTTAACTATGGTCTCCAAGTCAGAGCATGACACAATGCATGCACAACCCAGCCTGTCAAAACAACACACAATGATAAGTGGAATCATACTCTGGAATCACAATGATAAGTGGAATCACACGGCAGACAGATAATGAGCAATGTCATGCTTACTACACACAGTGGCAGCTACGAATAACACACATAACTAGTTAATTGAATATGGAGATAGTAAAAACCCATCACTTCAGCTCATTTACTACGGCATGATGAGCACGTACCGCCTCGCTAATCTCAGCGAGCACCAAGTCCGACCGTTCCTTCCAGAGATCGGCTAGTTGCTGATCCATTCGAGCAGCCTTTTCTTTCTGACGCCTAAATATGCCTTCTTCGCGCTGTTTGAGATATTCGGTCAAAGCCGATTCCGATGTTATTGGCGAATCATTGTCTTCAGCCATCTCTTTAATAATGCGGGCAGCGACGTTAGTCCAATCGCGCAGCTCATCTGCATCAGCCTGAACCACATCTATGTACATAGCATCTATGAACCGCGGATCTCTGAGCTGTGATAGGTGTTTAGACTCAGCAGCCGCAATTATGTCGTCTAGCTCACGCTGCGAACCAGGCCAGACAGACCAATCTTGCTGAGTGCCGTCAACTACGTCTGCTAGGCGCGCTCTATAGTTGTGCACGTGATTGCCCGGTATGTCTGCCATAAGAGCAAAGACAGACTAGTCGAAACAGAAGCATGTGGTGCTGACTGGTAGTCGGGTGAAGTAGAAGTAGGAGCTGTTCGTGGAAGGGTTTGATGGGTGACGGTTGGGTTGAATTGGTAGCCACGAACTGCTTCATTTCAAAGTATGGACGCGGTACGGGTGTCGACCCATCACCCAGATCAGCCCGCAAACGCACTGTAAACAAGCACAACACATACGAACCTTCTGGCATCGTTCATTACCAAGTAACAAAAAGATGTAGACTGATTCGACCAAACATTGTCGGAGCGTCCTTACTGGACACGTTGACTCATCAAGTTATGGGCGATCTCGTGGAAGGATAAGTCAGAAATGAACCAATCATGTTACACTTACAGATTCGCCAAGAAAATGCACGATAGAATGACACGCTAGCTCTGCAATATATATTCCAAGAGTTACAGAGATTATTGGTTGGAATACATAATTGCTCTAACACTTAGACGCTTCACTCCTCGCCACTATGCTACCCTTCTCTGATAGCTCTGAAACTCATATGGGGTGCTCATGGCATGGATAGTAGGTGGTGGTAAAGAATTCAGGCCTTCCCCATCAGTCTAGCATGGTTATCCATGCCATAACATCAAGTGCTATGGTGCTGGTTTTCTACCCACGACGCATGCCTTGACGCTTCACTCCTCGCCACTATGCTACCCTTCTCTGATAGCTCTGAAACTCATATGGGGTGCTCATGGCATGGATAGTAGGTGGTGGTAAAGAATTCAGGCCTTCCCCATCAGTCTAGCATGGTTATCCATGCCATAACATCAAGTGCTATGGTGCTGGTTTTCTACCCACGACGCATGCCTTGACGCTTCACTCCTCGCCACTATGCTACCCTTCTCTGATAGCTCTGAAACTCATATGGGGTGCTCATGGCATGGATAGTAGGTGGTGGTAAAGAATTCAGGCCTTCCCCATCAGTCTAGCATGGTTATCCATGCCATAACATCAAGTGCTATGGTGCTGGTTTTCTACCCACGACGCATGCCTTGACGCTTCACTCCTCGCCACTATGCTACCCTTCTCTGATAGCTCTGAAACTCATATGGGGTGCTCATGGCATGGATAGTAGGTGGTGGTAAAGAATTCAGGCCTTCCCCATCAGTCTAGCATGGTTATCCATGCCATAACATCAAGTGCTATGGTGCTGGTTTTCTACCCACGACGCATGCCTTGACGCTTCACTCCTCGCCACTATGCTACCCTTCTCTGATAGCTCTGAAACTCATATGGGGTGCTCATGGCATGGATAGTAGGTGGTGGTAAAGAATTCAGGCCTTCCCCATCAGTCTAGCATGGTTATCCATGCCATAACATCGAGTGCAATGGTGCTGGTTTTCTACCCACGACGCATGCCTTGACGCTTCACTCCTCGCCACTATGCTACCCTTCTCTGATAGCTCTGAAACGCATATGGGGTGCTCATGGCATGGATAGTAGGTGGTGGTAAAGAATTCAGGCCTTTCCCATCAGACTAGCATTGTTATCCATGCCATAACATCAAGTGCAATGGTGCTGGTTTTCTACCCACGACGCATGCCTTGACGCTTCACTCCTCACCACTATGCTACCCTTCTCTGATAGCTCTGAAACGCATATGGGGTGCTCATGGCATGGATAGTAGGTGGTGGTAAAGAATTCAGGCCTTCCCCATCAGTCTAGCATGGTTATCCATGCCATAACATCAAGTGCTATGGTGCTGGTTTTCTACCCACGACGCATGCCTTGACGCTTCACTCCTCGCCACTATGCTACCCTTCTCTGATAGCTCTGAAACTCATATGGGGTGCTCATGGCATGGATAGTAGGTGGTGGTAAAGAATTCAGGCCTTCCCCATCAGACTAGCATTGTTATCCATGCCATAACATCAAGTGCAATGGTGCTGGTTTTCTACCCACGACGCATGCCTTGACGCTTCACTCCTCGCCACTATGCTACCCTTCTCTGATAGCTCTGAAACTCATATGGAGTGCTCATGGCATGGATAGTAGGTGGTGGTAAAGAATTCAGGCCTTCCCCATCAGTCTAGCATGGTTATCCATGCCATAACATCAAGTGCTATGGTGCTGGTTTTCTACCCACGACGCATGCCTTGACGCTTCACTCCTCGCCACTATGCTACCCTTCTCTGAGAGCTCTGAAACTCATATGGGGTGCTCATGGCATGGATAGTAGTTGGTGGTAAAGAATTCAGGCCTTCCCCATCAGTCTAGCATGGTTATCCATGCCATAACATCAAGTGCTATGGTGCTGGTTTTCTACCCACGACGCATGCCTTGACGCTTCACTCCTCGCCACTATGCTACCCTTCTCTGATAGCTCTGAAACTCATATGGGGTGCTCATGGCATGGATAGTAGGTGGTGGTAAAGAATTCAGGCCTTCCCCATCAGACTAGCATTGTTATCCATGCCATAACATCAAGTGCAATGGTGCTGGTTTTCTACCCACGACGCATGCCTTGACGCTTCACTCCTCGCCACTATGCTACCCTTCTCTGATAGCTCTGAAACGCATATGGGGTGCTCATGGCATGGATAGTAGGTGGTGGTAAAGAATTCAGGCCTTCCCCATCAGTCTAGCATGGTTATCCATGCCATAACATCAAGTGCTATGGTGCTGGTTTTCTACCCACGACGCATGCCTTGACGCTTCACTCCTCGCCACTATGCTACCCTTCTCTGATAGCTCTGAAACTCATATGGGGTGCTCATGGCATGGATAGTAGGTGGTGGTAAAGA